TTTTTTTTTTCTAAGTACAAACTGGTCACATCACATTTCTTACACAGATGAGCTACGATGGATTACTATCACTGTCGCAGTTGACAGACGAAAAGTTAAACCTTATACAAGGGCACAACGCTCCGTTGCAAACCACCACGGCCAGAACAAATCCGTCAACAGCAGTGAAAAATTCTGCTGATGCGAGCAACAATTTGGTAATTCGGTCCGCCTCACCCGCACTTGTCGACGTCACAGTCGAAGAAGAAGAGCAGGCAGCAACCATACAAACAATTCAGTTGCCTTTAGTTAGTGTCGAGAGCTACAATACCGATGCAGGTGCGAATTTGAGTGCATCGACCGCAACAGCAGCAGCAGCAACGCCTTTCAGCACAACATTGGACGCATCGAGCACGGAAACGTCAACGCCGCAACGGAAGATTTCGGCGTCTTCGCGATTTATGAACGCATTTCAAAACCTTTATTCGAGTGCTACAACGGCGAACGCAACGAGTGAAACGGACGAAGCAGACATTGGTACAAATTTAACAAACGGAATGCCTGTTGTTAGTCGTACGCCTCATAAGGGCGTGGAATCGAAACTTTTATCAATGTGGCACAACGTCAAATATGGCTGGAGTGGAAAACTTAAACCTAACTTTTCTAAAGAACAGCCTGTCTGGCTTCTAGGGCGATGCTACCATCGTAAATACACGCCCCCATCCTCCATGGAGAGCTCAACCGAAATGAGCTCAAATGCTGGCGTACTCACACCAAATGTACCCAGTAGCATGTGTGAAACTGGAGATCAATATGCGCCTGTTAGTAGCAGCATATCCGCTACCAATATTTATCCGCCACTCAATCCAGATCAAGTGGATGAAATCGTGGTGCCACAGGAGCTAGGTATGGACGCAGTTGAAAATCAAGTAGCTGAACATCCTTGGGAAGAGGGTATCGAGGGATTCCGACGTGATTTTTACAGTCGCATTTGGTTGACCTACCGACGAGAATTCCCCACTATGAATGGTTCAAATTACACATCCGATTGTGGTTGGGGCTGCATGCTGCGGAGTGGGCAAATGTTGTTGGCACAAGGACTTGTTTGCCATTTTCTGGGAAGGAGTAAGTACAAAAAAATAATACATTACAGTTGAGTTTGTATGTATACGTATATATCCATGATCTCAGGAACAGGGGAACAATAGGTATACGTAATCTTATATATACATATTTATTGTAAAACACATACATATGTACGTATGTTTATAAATACATACGTGGTTATTAGCCCAATACACTTCTAACAGCATTGCATTTTGACAGGCTGGCGATACGATGCGGAAACACAATTGCATTCTACATATGAAGACAATATGCATAAAAAAATTATTAAATGGTTTGGTGATAGCTCTTCGAAAAGCAGTCCTTTCTCCATACATGCGCTGGTTAGCTTGGGAGTAGAAATGGGCAAACGGCCGGGTGATTGGTATGGACCAGCATCGGTTTCGTATCTCTTAAAGTATATTACTCCGATTGAAACTTTAACAACTAAATATTTAGTTATTATTTTTACAGACAAGCTTTAAAAACGGCGGCTCAAGAAAATGCGGACTTCGATAACATAACGATTTATGTGGCTAAAGATTGCACAAGTAGGTTTGAGGAATGGGTGTAATACACTATATATATACATATAGAAGGATATTCATATATGCCCTGCAGAAAAAGTTAGAGACAAGTCTGGCAAAGCGCTAGTTCCAAACTAAATATTTCAGAACTATCTTTGACTAGTGCAAAACGGCTACAGAGCGGGACAGTTGAAACTTGCGGGGTATGTCAGTGTACAAATTCTCACTTCTTGTACAATATGAAAGTAGCTGGGCGACAATTGCCACCGCCAATGACATCCCCGTGTATAACTGGGTAGTTGAAAGCATTGCTTGGGTATTGAGCTAGAACTAGTACTGTCGACAAAAGGTCTAGTCCTACGCTGGTTCTGAGCTAGTCAGATTTTCTGCAGGGTGTATATATACATATCGTCGTTTACAGTGCAAAACCTCGTAACTGACATTTGTGCCAAAAGAGATATTTGTTCACCAGAAGCTCCTGGTATTAAGCCCCTTTTCCATTCATTCTAAAATATCGATATATATGTAGATATAAGAAGAAGAGATTATTAGGGATAAAAGAGAGAACCGTTTTAAAATAAGACAAGTTTTACTCCCCTATAAAATTTTGGCAACCTGAGGAGGTTTTGCGTTTTTTTGATACTGGGTTTCGTACTTTAAACGACGATGCATACTTAATTTGTTCACCCTGACTAATTATTTATTTTTTATTATTTTCGCAATGTATCAACACATTTATTATTTATAAAGTGCTTTATCGTATCATATTTGAAGTAACGTATCAAGTAGAGTATCTCGAAAAATATACATTATTAATACATACATATACTTTATTTACTCATTATTAGTGTCCGACCGAACTCGAGTTTTTGGCCGAAACTACTCGGCTTTTTTCTTAAAGTTCGGCCGAAACCGAAACGAACCCGAATTTTTTAGAGTAAAAATTACGTAAGCAATTATATACCACAAAAAAGTATTTCTGATAATTTATCTAAATTATCCGTTATTGCTTCTCAAAAACTCGCGATCAGTTTCACACTGCAACACTCGATTAGTGTGACCGCACTTTCAGAAGAAATTATTAGTAGAGCACGAGCAAGTTGAAATATATTTTTGAAATGATATTCGCTCTTTCAATTGCAGTCAAATTTTGCAATTTTTATTTCTGAAACTGATTTCCGAAATGTGACAGAAAGTTCTTTCTGGCCGCTAGCACGTGGAAATAAACTCTCTTTCCCAATTTTACATCGAATTACAAAGTATTTTTGAAAATTGAACTTGCCAAAATTTTATGAGGCATTAAAACTTTGGGAAGGAAATAAAATTAAAAGACCGACAAGAAATAAGAAAGTTGCCATAACAAAGCAATAAAATCAACTTACAGAAACGCTACAGAGGCACTGATTTAAAAAAATTTAAATGTTTATAATTTGTAAACATTTTCTTTAAAACTTTTCGGCCAAATTACTCGGCCGATTTTGGCTGAAATCGAACCGAAACCGAACTTCATGGCCGAAATGTTTGGTAACCGAACCCGAACCTGAACACTCGGTCGGACACTAATCATTATGCATTTATTGCTAATAATTATTGGCTGATACACAAATTTGGTACTCAATAATTACTTATCTCTTGTAGTTTACATGCAAGACGTTGAAAAGGAGTGCCGCATACCGGAACCCTCCCCAAAGAAACATGTACCTTGGCAACCTACACGCCGGAATGAAACGCCTAAATCGCAAAAACAACAATGGAAATCGTTATTAGTGTTAATTCCACTACGCTTGGGCACAGAAAAGTTGAATCCGGTCTATGCGCATTGTTTGAAGTTATTACTAAGTACAGAACACTGCATAGGTATAATCGGTGGACGCCCTAAACATTCGTTATATTTTGTGGGTTTCCAAGGTACACATAGCAATTGGCATCGATAGAAATTCATAGTAATTATTACATGTTTTTTTACATAACATTTCAGAAGATAAATTGATACACTTGGATCCGCATTACTGTCAGGAGATGGTTGACGTTAATCAGGACAACTTTTCCTTGCAGTCATTTCATTGTAAATCACCGCGAAAATTGAAGACAACTAAAATGGACCCAAGCTGCTGCATCGGATTTTACTGTTCCACAAAAACAGATTTTGATAACTTCGTAGAAAGCGTACAACTGGTGAGCAATTCATGATATTGTTTTATTAACCGACTTCAAAATAAGTAAAACAAATAAACTTTTTAATACACCACGCTTTTATAAATGGACTAAAAAGCAAAAAAATAATATTTCTCAGTCCCATAGAATTTGTTTTGATAACTTTTGATTTTGAAATTTTAGCAAAAGTCATTATGAACAATTTATGAGATTGAAAATGAAAAACGTGGAGCGCATGCAATACAAATCATTAGATTTAATTGACAATAGTCAAACTACATAACATAGACGATGAATAACTTTTAACCCTTTTCAAGTTGGCATTTTCTAATTTTCATTTAAAATTCAATTGTGTGCTTTGAGATAGTTTTGAATTGTGTAAATTTTTTTTTGTTTTTCGACCATATGCATTTATAGATACATATACAAAAATGAAAAGGAGCAGGAACTGAGAGCGTTGTATTGTGTGGAAAGTGGTGCGATACTTTAAGGCGCCTAGTTGCGAAGTTAAAAGACTTGGTTGCCTCAAGCACACGGAATTTCAGAACTGAGTAAGATAATTTTCTTACAATATTATGCACACATAACCACGTCAGGACCTAGATTTACACTGATATACATACGTATGTATAATAAAACATTAAATCGTTTTTTTATAAGTGGGGATGTTTTTTAGAAGTAAATATTTAACCAAACGCGCAAAAACATTGGGCGAAAAGAAAAAAAAAATGGTTAAAACAGTTTCATATATACATATATTACTTTTCCTATCAATTCAAGTCTATTTCATACACCCCACGTTTTTCATTTTCAATCTCATAAATTGTTTATAATGACTTTTGCTAAAATTGCAAAATCAAAAGTTATCAAAACACCTTCTATGGAATTGAGAAATATTATTTTCCAGTTTGAGTCCATTTATAAAAGCGTGGTACCTATATAAAAAAAAATTTTATTTTATTTATTTTCTACTTTTTAGTCTTGTCTGTATAAAATTTTGCAATAGATGTTAAAAAAATTCAATGATATCAATAAATTTGGCCGAGCTGCTCCTCTGATTTGTGGCGTGCGAGAGACCTACAGTTTATATTATAAATTTAAATAGGTTTATTTTGTCAATTTCAACTCTAAGAGCACTACAAACAATTATTTTGTTAATGTGAATTACATTTCCCCTGTTCGCGTACGCACTATCCAGTAAATCTAGTATTAATTTTACTGGTTTTTTACTGGATGTCGTTTTCGTACTCAAAAACTTGCAGGAAACTAGCAAAAGAGGGGAAATTGAGAGAGCATTTTTCCTGTAACTTCCTGCAAGTTCGTGTAAAATCCTGTAAGTTCATGGAGTACTGGATCAGAGCTAATAAGTTTAAAAGGTCGCGCAGAATTTGGTTACTCGTCTTTGAATTATCGTACTGAAAAGTGCGATACAATTTTTGTAGGAAATTAGACACTACAAAAACTTTTTTTGATAGATCTACATTTTTAACCGTTATTAAAATCTAAAATTAAATCTGTCATTATAACAGTTTTTTCTCGTATTTTAGGTAAAAAAAAAATTTGTACGCATGTATGTGTTACCAATGTAATCCAAATAAAATTCATTTCTTCTACAGTATCTGCATCCGATGCGTTGCGCCTCCGGTACAATAGACAAAATTGGATCCTCGTCTAATAACAGTGGTCCTATTGAAGGCGCTCAATACGCGGAAATGAATTACCCGCTTTTCACATTCTCACGTGGTCAATGTCCACACCAAGAATGGGACTCTATCAACGATTCTCTCTACAAACCGTTGCAACAGCAAGTTACACAAATGAAACAGGAGCTTGATATACATTCAAACAGCGTGACATACGTTAGTGCACACGACGACGATGATGAAGAAACTGAGGAATTCGTTTTGCTTTAAAAAATAGTTTAATGTGGTTGCATTAGCAACACCGCTGCTTTTTCGAATAATATGTTTCTCCTTCAAGATTTGTCAAGTTCATTTCATTCTTAATTGTTCGTTTAAGTTGTACATTACCATAAATTGTTCAAGATTATACGTATTTGCAAGTAATTGTTAATATTTTTAAAATTGCATACAAACATACACAAATATTCTTAACTCAAGCGCCTGCATTATTTAATTGTACAAATAAGTTATAACACTCATTTTAACACTAAAAATACTAACGTTGAAAATTGTTTAGAACGCAACAACGAAAAATGTTTCACCACTCCTATTAACTGGATCCATCCTATAAGCGTAAACCTACCGTCTATGTATCTCAAATTGAAAGACTTACATTTTTTCTTTATTTACTTTATTATACATACATTTTTTTGCAGTGTGATCTGCTTACGCAACTCATTTGATTTCATTAAAAATATTTGTTTACATTTATGTTTCAGCTTGAGATAACGGGAGTGTGCGTAAATTAAATTATGTACCAAGTAGTTCGCCAAAAAATGTATTTATGTATAACTGAAAGTTTAATAAGTTTATGCTTGAGCTGAAAGCATTGTGCATTGTAACTAAATAACCATTAGTGGAAGTTTGTGATCCAATTATTTATTGTACTTTATTAATTTAGGGTAGTAGCTTTGGCACACGCCAGCGCTAATTCCAATGTTACATTTTTGTATACATATTATATACATATTATGCCTAGATTATTGTGAGATCATGAAAAGGATTGAACAGTTTCATTGGCGTTAAAATTTTACAAATTTTTGAAATACATACACTTATTTTTAAACATTTAAAAAAACACTACGTTTCAGTTTATTATACCGCCTTTTAAGGGTGGGAAATGCATTCTCTCAAGTACTAAAATCACTGCATTGTAAAGTGTTGTATTTGTTTTTATTTATTTATTTAAGTAAAGTTTATTATGAAAAAAGTTATTATTAGATTAAAAGTGCCGACTCATTAATGGTCGTTGTAAGGAAAAAATAAATAATCTTTAATAAACTACGTTGTGGGTTTGTTTGGCTATGTAAGTTTTTATTAGTGGTAATGTGATAATCTACTTTTCAAATTGTGTATGATGGTGTAAAAAGCCGTATTTTTAGTTATACATATCGTCGTTTAAAGTACAAAACCGCGTATCGTCGTTCTGTAAAAGCGCGTAACTGACATTTTTTGCCAAGCTCTTGGCTCAAGCCTTATCCATTCGTCCTGAAATATACTAGCCAGAAATGCGACTGCTTTATAAAAAATATAACTATTTTGATAAATGCATGAGTGCTTTTACTCTAGAAAATAGTTTATGCAACCTGATATACGTGGCTTTACATTATCATGGTAGTGGGGTTTGAATTTTTTTGATACGCGGTTTTGTATCTTAAACCATGTTCGGAAATTCATTTATGAGATTTATCATGATCGATAATATTCCAAATCTATTTTTGTATTCTTTTATCGCGAGTGAAAAATGCAAACAAATTTATCATCACCCCCATTCGGAACGCGATCGACAAAAAATTTCAGCTGCTTTTCATTCGCGATTGAAAAAAGTAAAGAAATTTCCTATCACTCGAATATGAGAAGTCTGAGCATTGCCGATGTCGGCTGCTCATAAATGCGAAAAACAATACAAGTAATCCATTCGCGATCACTCACGACAGCTTATCGCGATCACTCACGACAGCTTAT